GCTGTCAGAGAGATCAGTGGACCTGGGCCCAGGAACTGGGGGAGGCTTATCCCAAGATCACTGGATTTTTCCTGAGGGAGCAGTTCATTTTGATCTGACTGAAGACTTAACTGTACGCTTTTCTAGGTGAATGCTGTTTGGGAGGCTGACTCCTATAGTTCCCATGTATTAATGCAAACAATAATGAAGAGATCATCCCTGAACTTCTGTTAAAGACAGAAAATTATTGTTATCCCTGTCAGCTTGTTGTTGACTCTAGTGCAATTCTGGCATGAGGTAGAAAAACCCAAATAGCATCTACGAGTATTTTTTTTTTTCTCTTGAGACTTAATTTGGTGTTGCGTGCAACAGTGAAGGCAACTGCTGTGCATTCAGAGACCAGGCTGTTCAGTTGTCTGTTGTTAACAGTGAGAAGAGAAACAATGAAAAGCATCTTCTGACAGCTAAGAGAGTGCTAGGGGAGAAAGGGATGCTTTTTGTGCCAGTAGTGGATTCAGGGAATTGTCTGGTTTTTGGAGATGTCACATGTTCAACCTCAATTTACAGACTTTGACAACATGTTATCAGTATGAAAGTAAGGACCACTACTAGCAAGGTGCATAAATACCCCTTAAGTGGGATTACAGGTTTTTGGAAATAGGAGATTTTGTAAGTTGTTAAAATTACTTTAATGAATGGTTTAAGCTTAGATGCAAGTGTGATGGCTTTAATGGATGTCTTCAGTTTTTTAACAACAGTTAGTGATTTGAACAGTTTGGGATTTTTAACCAATAACGTGAAATCTTTGGCATTTGTAATAGAGTTAAATATATGAAGTTTCTGACTGAGAAGAAAATCAACTACAAATATGATAATCTGAAAATAATGGGAGTTTTTTTTCTAATTAGTGGGAATTATTTCACCTTCACATGTTGCAGACAGTGTCAAAAACAAGGTGCTGTAGTTAATGGTGTAATATGAGCTGCTGCTTCAAATGAATTTGCGAAACAGCAGGACTTGCAGGTTGGTGGAGTTAGGATAGTGTTTATGAATCATATTTATCCTGGTTCTTTCTGTTACCCTGTTTCCTGTTTATATCTAAGGTCCTCAAAGGATCTTACACCACCTTTTATTTCCCCTTGGTTATCTAACATAGAGCTGTACATGGCAGTTCATTAATTCTTCTATAATTATTTTAGCAGCTGAATGATTACTCATCGGCCTTCCACGGCTAGGACCTCAGTGGGGCTGTGGGTCCTCAGTACCCTTTCCCTACATAAGAGTTAGAAGGCTGGTGAGAGGCAGGGGTGTGTGTTTCTGTAGAGACCCAATCCTGTTTAGGCAATCCTGTCCTCTGACTGCACTTCCAGTATCAGACTGGATTGGGAGGCTTGTGTAGGAAACTTCAGTGGCCAGTATCTGTTGTTAAGGTGCCGTGCCCAGCTTCTAGCAGGGCTCACAAGGGGTTTACTGGTTCCCTTAACACTGAGTAAATGCAGAAATGGAGCTTTTTTAGTAAGTAGTTATTCTCACTGAGTGACTTGGGTACCAGATGTGTTTTGGTGGATAATTCTTGATCCTTCCACTTCCTGCCTGACATTGTTGTAACATTAGCAGCTAGGGTTAGACTGGTGACTTCTTTCTGCTTTTGTTCTGGTACTATTCCCAATCACAGAAAATTTCTGGTTTGGTTCTAAACCTTTTTTCTGCCTAACCACTGGTGTAATTTCTGTGCTAATATGAGCAAAACTATTATTGATAAAACTCTGTAGCTGCCAGTATGCTTTAAGTGGAGTGCATTCTCATTTGGTGGTCTCGGGTGCAGCACTTCCTGAGAGCAACAGATTGCTGTGCAGTTTTTGCTAATGCACAGTTGGCTAGCATTCCCATATTTCTAACTACATCATCAGATATGTTATTTTCTAAGAGATTTTTTACAGTGGTTTCTGAGAGAGCAGTTGTCCTTTTAGGTAACTGTGAAAAACTTGAATCAGCTCTTAAAACTCCCGGGTTTTGTTCCACAGACTTCTCTTTTCATGATCATAAAAGAAGAAATGAGAAGAGATGGGGATAGTGTCAGTAATAGAAAAGAGGTGAAAGAGCTGTATATTGTCTAGAAAATCTTTATGAAATACAGTGTTTCTGGGAATACATGCGGGTATATCACCATTTGTCCTTAATTTCCTTAATTAATTAAACACGAGATTTTGAGATTTCAACAGAATTCCTTCTCCAAAAACTGCTTTGATTGTGTCTTGTTCCTAAGGAGAACCAACTTTGTGATTTGTGATGCCTTCTTTTTTTTTTTTTTTAAAAAAAACCCACATCTCTACAAATAATTATTCCAGAAAAGGAGTGATTCTTTTTCTCCAGAGTGAGAATACCTCATTAAACTCATTCAGTGTAAAGCACTACTGCTGTAAAAGTGAGTCTGTACAAGAAGTTAGCAAAGGGCCTCCCTCGAAGTCCAAATTTTGTGACTTAACTGTATGTCGTAGGTGTTAAGGTGGAACGCTATTTAAAATTTTGATGATTGTGATTTAAAGAAAAATTAGGTAAGATCCCATGATTTACGTGATTTATTAGAGATACATCCCCTTTAGAACTAGTGTTTCGGCATGTTGAGGGTGAGAGGACCTTTTGCTTGTCTGTGTTGTATTATTAGCATGTGCATTAAGGCTTTTTTCTTAAAATACAGTAGTCCCCTTCAACACAAAGTAGAAGAGTGACTCTCTTTAATTTGGTAGTAAGTCATGTGAGTAGAAATAAGCAGAGCATGATAGAAAAGAAGGTACTGATGGTGACTAGTGATAAAAGGCACCCGAACGTTCACAGAATGCTGAAATTAAATGCTGTGAGGGTGTGTTGATCCTTCTGCAACTTCCCCAAATGTAATTTAAAGAAAAAAACTAATACTGACCAAGCATGTTATAAAGCACACAAAGCGAATCTTTATTTGTCCTTTTTGAAAAGGAGGTGAATCAGAAAGCTTTTACAGAGTAGTCTCCGGAGATATCAAAATTATAAACCAGCAGTGAAAGCCAGTTGTAAGATGCCTGCCTTAATTTGTGGCTCTGCTCTGCAAAGGAATTTTGTAAGAATGAACCTTGACAGACCCTGAGTGATAGCTGGGTGAAACTTCTATTAAGAAGACAATATAATCTGGTGAGCACCTTTCAGGTTCAAAGCCGAAGATTTTGGATACCTTACTACTTACTCTTCTTTCAGTGTGCCTCCATGTCTTTCATTTTATTCACAGCTTTGAAGGCAGTTCAATTACTTGCATGGTTCTGTATTTGTAAAACACTTCTTCCGGTATATAAGGGAAACGAGTTTTCCATCAGTTTGTTTTCCCATAGAGCTGCTGGTCCTTTGGGGCTAAAAGAACTAACTTACGCTTTTTCACTGGAATTCTTAGATATGAATGGAAAAGTTGTGTGGAATAGATTTTTTAGAAGTTAGCAATTTTGCAAAAAGTACCATTTATTTAATGTGTGGTTATAGATAGTATAGTTCAGTTTCTAAGAGCTTACTCTTTCATTAGCTTTAAGAGTGCACTGGTGGCTGAGACGGAGATGTTTTTGCCCTGACACAGGGCAGGAATGTAGTGTTTGAAGTGGAGAACAGTAGCTTAAGACATAGCTGTAGGTAGATCCCAAGGAATTTTTGCAGTTTTATCCCTTGTGCTCTGTACATTTCAAAGTGTAACTGACTGGTGTGTCTGACTGGACAGTGTGCAAGGAATGTACAGGAATTATTTGTGCATTTCAGAAGTACTTGAAAGATGGAAAAAAATATTTAAAAGGCAGCTCTTTCTCCAAGTGCACCTGATGAATAAATAAGTATGTGATGATTTGTGACTTACTGTCTGAAGTTGAGGAGAACCAAAGGAGGAAATCATCTTGGTGATAGCAGGTGATCTGGTAAAAGGATGACATAAAATGCCTTATTCAAACCTGTGCTGTGATGATTTCAGAGATACTCAATTTATTACAGCATTTAGCCTGCAGTTTTCTTGGATAACAAGACAAAATAATATTATGAATAATTTTTAGATGTCAAGGCCAGGACAAAAGCATAGGAAGCGATTTTAAAATTATTATTATGAAAATAATATTTTTTCATGTAAAAAAATACAGTGAATTATTGAATGAAAATGGTGTGGAATTAAAAAAAAAAAAACCTCACCATCATCTTTGCTAATTAGATATCCTGGATATTACTACTGGGGTTTTTGGTTTTTTTTTTCATTTCTTCCTTTTCTGTTCCTAGATCCTGTGCTGTTGCCCGTGACATAATCATCTAGATAAATATTTTCTTTTTCTAATGCCTTTTGCCTCATCCTCACTGTTTGTAACAGAGCTGATAAAACTGTCGTCTCACTTATTTTACTAGCCACTTGCATCACTTTGAAGCTGTCTGCTGTAGACCTTTCTTCACGCTTGAGGCTTAATGTAGATTTAGAACTGCAAGTGCAGCAATACCAGGTGTCTGAAACCAGAAACTAACAACCACCTCAGAATTTTTATCTTTTGAGTACTGTAACTTTTTTGTATACTTTCAAGAAGTTGTATGTATTGTGTTGAAGCTAAGTATAAATAACCCAATATGCATTCTTCAATCATGGGATTAGGATTTTTTTTTTTTTTTTGGAGGGTGGTGTCAGGGTTTTTTTGAGCTTAGTATTTTTAGTGCTATCATCATTGTTTTAGGGAGGTAACATTTGCATTTAAAATTTTGCTAGGATAAGCCTGTTTGAAGGCTTGCTATTTCCACAATTACTCTCAAACACTGCCTGAATTTTATTGTTATAGCTGGACTGCAGCTCATGTATGTTTTATTCTCACATTGTGCACAGTTGCTTATATTTCTATTCTTTGATGATTTAAGAAAGCACTCAAAATAAAATAATTGGTCTCACTGTTGAACAGTTTTCAAAGCCAAGAAAATACTGTGCATAATTTCCTTAATAAAGTCATAGTGAGGTTACTTTTTTGTTTTCTGTTTTTCTAATATAATAGAAATCAAAGGCAGAAGAGAAAATCAAGTTTGGTATTTGAAAATATCAAAACTAGCATTGGCTTTTGCAATTATTCGCTCAAAGCCACCAGGGAAGAGTTGCAAAGAATATACTGAACACCTTGCCAAAACTGTATCCGAGCAAGATTTTGGAAGGATATTGAAAGTTGAAGTACTGGAAGCTGAAGTTCTTCGCTTACGTCGGGAACTTCTTTTGAGCAAGATCTGTCCAAGATTCTGCTTGGAAAATGGTAAGTTTCTGCAATAATTTCTGACCCTGTTGTAGCAAGGAAGCAAACAGCTCTTCATGTTGCTTGCACCATTTCTTGTACTTTGATACAAGAGTCTTCAGTGTACAGCTTTCTATTTTTCCCAGAACTTCTAAGTAGTAGAATACTTAAGTAATTTGTAATGGGATTGATCTTGTGAATTTGGTGCTTATTCAGAATTTACATTTTTAGCCTTCAGAATCATATGGAATAATTTCAGACAAAATATTACTCTATAACCTTGGAGATTCTATTTTGTAAGAATATTGATGTACCCAGTTTACATTTGGAACATGTCTTAAAGACATAGTGCATATTTTTTTTTACCACTTTAAAGATGCTTAAAATCAGAATTTAAGGCTAATATGTGAGAGCATGAATCCAGCATATGTATAATGGTAAGGTTGAGCGGGCAAAAGACTGTCTGATGTTTCTGTTAATGTATTTAGACTGTGGATACTGTGGCTATGTGTTTATTATGACATATGATAAAATATTGTGAGTCTGATATTGCAGGATTCAGGAAAGCTGTTAGTTAAAGTAAATTAAAAAAAAAAAAAAAAGAAAGAAAAATAGAGAGCTTAAACAGCACTGTTTCTTTGACTTGTGCATGTGAAGTGAGTCATCCTCACACTGAGAGATCAGTTGCACAGGATGCGCTTATAAATCAGGCAGTGGAGGATGTTTCCAGGCTCTGGGGAGATATTTTCCGAGGAGATGGAGGTCAAAACATTCTGGGCTGAAGGAGAGAGACAGATGTTGAGAGGATCTCTAAAATCAAAATGTATAGCTAGTTGTTGAGATTTTTAGAAGGTTTCCTTATAGAAAACTGATGAGACAATACTGGAATGCTTTTGTACTGAAACAGTAGCTTCTTCATTGCCTTGTGAAAAGGTTTCTAGATTCTTCGACTGAGAGGGGGCATGTATTAGACTTTAGCTAGAAGCTCTAATGGTTTGTTGTTCATTTGGAGTTTTTTTTATAATAGACCTTTCTCTCAAGAAGTGATTTAATGACTATGCATACTTAGTTATTGTTTGTGTGTCTGTTCTCTGCAACCCGTTCCAAATATGAAGTTTATTTAAGAGTAAAAGTAACTTTCAAGCCACTGTTTGCCACAAGTGTCTTAATGCTGTGATGAACTGATTGCATATGATGCATATGATCAGGAGAGATTTATTACCATCTAATGTCTGGAGAAGATTAAGCAGAACATATCAAACACTAGAATTGAAATCAATTCATCTACAACTTCTGTGTTCCAAGTCTAACTTTTTAAAGATTTTGTACCCCAGGCTGTTGAACTGAGCAACACTGATATCTCATTTGCCAAAGTAAGCTCTTTTAGTTGCAAGATAGGCAGGGAAAAGCAACTGTCCCTGAATAATAACACCTTTTCCAAAGGATGTTCATTTTTGTTGCCCTCGTCACAATGACGTTTGCTCACAGACTAAAAACGTGATAAAACTTACCTTATTTCAGATTTCTACAGCTGCATTAAATTTTCTGTGCTTTCTTCATTATCTGTACGGGGAAATAGCATGCTTACTCTAGAGTTTATGGTTCATTTGACCCATCACCATATTCACTAATATGGGTATGGTGAATTGTCCACAGAAGATATCGCACTCCATTCTGCTAACAGTAGGCTAACTGGCTTAGAAAAAGTTCCATGATTCCCAAAACACTTCAGTTAGCTGCTTTTCATAGGTAGCTCTATTTTTTTATGGTCTCAGCAGCCTGTTCAAATATACCTTGGTTAGCTGACCAAGTCTCATTTTTCCATGAAGTCAAACTTTAATTTCAATCTACCTTTATCTAATGGAATCGTAAATAGTAGAGATGAGTATGTGGTGTCTATGATCCTTCTGTATTCCTTTAGTTTCTCCAGGGTAGAAAACCACCACCCTACTAATTTGAAGGGTTAGTGTGTAGCTGCTTTTCCTTTCAAATGTTTATTTGTATTTATCATTACACTGTTGATAAACCTGTTAGACAGAAGACCTCTGGACATTTGAAATATCTATGGGAGTTCACTTTAGCCCCTCCCACATCACATGCTGTCCAAGAGGAGTAGGGCATAGTCTTCTCCTGCCGTTTCTTAACCACTTTGGTGTAAGAGAGCAAAAATGTGTGGAAAATCTGAACTGTATCATCATTTCTATTTCTTCACACAGGTTTTCCTTAACATTGAAAGGACAGTTTTGAGCTCTTGGGTCTAACTTTGAGGCAGACATTTTTTGTGACATTTCTTTCTTTTGATTGAGGTTTTTTGTTGTGCTTTTTTTTTTTCCTTCTTACATCTTGGTATGACACGTGAAGTCTTCTGATAATGGATTTGAGCCATATGTTATTTTGGAAAGAAGATGTTCTTCATCAGACAGATGGAACTGCTGAGTGAGCATCCATGGTTACAGTTACATTGGAGACAAATGCTCAGTCTCTTGCTTTTGAGTAAAGAAAGATCCTTACTGATACCTGACAGGATATCTGTTGATGAGATTTATCCACTCTTCTGGTGATCAACAATGTATATTAATAGCAGAATACCCATGATTGACATATAAAGGAAGATGGTCATAGAAGCAAAGCCTACCCGATATAGGGGCCACTCTGCCACTAACGACATCTACTCTGGGAAAAAAAAAAGAATTTGTCTTGTGTGTTGTGCCAGTTTTGAGATTTTTCAAGCCCATGGAGATTAGAAGCTAAAGAATGGTTACTGCTGAGATAAGGAGGCACAAGGAACTTGACTCTTAAGTTCAGAGGAAAAGTGGTATAAATAGTGTTCCATCCTGTTCACTTGAAGGCTCTTAGAGATCCATCAAGCCTTTGTAATGGTTTGCTGATGGTATATTGCCCAGGTTTACTACCTAATAGCACACCAGGGAAATTCTCTTTAGGGCTGAGGGTAACTGGGCTTGTTCTCAGGGTCAGGTAATCTACAGATATCATGGATCCTTTTCCTCCTCCACTCGTTTCTCCAGCCTCATTTTTGGAGTTGGAGTTCTGCTTAAAACAATGAAATCTTTTAACAGTATTAAAAGCCTCAGCTTTTATTTGGCTTTCTTGTATTCTGTTTAACAAGTCTATAGATGCAAAAGTCCACCACCAGAAAATTCTCTTGCATTAAGGATCAGATACTGCATTTGGGTCTACTGCTGCCTATTGATAGCTGAGGAGTTTGAGTCCTTCAGCCATGGTTTGCTTTGCAACTGTCTTCCCCGAACATGAGAGCTTTTCTCTCCCACCTGCTGTTGGTAATAATAATAGTAGGTCTTTCAGAGGATTCAGGAATGATTAGAGGCTGCTCATGGAGTTTTATTTCCCTGATGTGAGAAATTTGTAAGCCTTTTGAAGCTGTGATGCCTGTTTTCCTTATTCATATGAAGTTGCACACAGTGCAACAGACTTGGGGAGGATTGGCTGGAGAGCTGCCAGTCAGAAAGGGACCTGGGGGTGTCAATTGACAACCGGCTGAACAGGAGCCAGCAGTGTGCCCAGGTGGCCAAGAAAAGGCCAATGCCATCCAGGCTTGTGTCAGCCATAGCGTGGCCAGCAGGGACAGGGAAGGGATCTCACCCCTGTACTCGGCACTGCTGAAGCCGCACCTCGATTCCTGTGTTCAGTTTTGGGCCCCTCACTCCAAAAAGGACATTGAATGACTTGAGCGTGTCCAGAGAAGGGCAAAGAAGCTGGTGCAGGGTCTGGAGCACAGGTCGTAGGAGGAGCGGCTGAGGGAACTGGGGTTGTTTAGTCTGGAGAAGAGGAGGCTGAGGGGAGACCTCATCGCCCTCTACAGCTCCCTGAAAGGAGGTGGCAGAGAGCTGGGGATGAGTCTCTTTAATAAGCAATAGGGCGAGAGGTGTTTTAAGAGTAGGGTTGACATAGTGCTGAGGGATATGGTGTAGTTGGGAACTGTCAGTGCTAGGTTAACGGTTGGACTGGATGATCCTCAAGGTCTTTTCCAACTTAGATGATTCTGTGATTCTGTGGATGCACAGGCACATGAAAGAGAAAGAAAAACGTATCCCTCCTGGCTAGTTCTTTGTCCTCAGAGACCCTAAGAAAGGTTGGGGTTCCTTGCTGAAGGGGAAGAGCATGCATTGCTACAGGTAGTATGGGTTATTACAGTTTAATATGTTGTTTATAAAATTACCATGGTATATATTCACTGACTGCTGTGTCTGGAAGTTCTTTATTTGACTGAATGAGCATTTGTCTTTCTGAATACAAAGACACTGGTATTCCTTTCACATGGTGGTGCTTTTGGTTGTATGTCAGCCATCCAAGGAGAAGCAAATCTTTCTCTAATTGTCTGTTCGTTGTTTTTCATGTTGCCAGTATTGTCCTGAGAACTATGCTCATGGGTAGAAAAAAGTCAGATTTCATATTAATCAAAGTTTCTTGCCCTTCTTTGATTCAGATTGAAATTTCACAGAAAGGAGGAGAAAAACTCCTTGGTGTTATTCCAAGAATAAGAATATAAAATATTTGAGCATTCTGTTGTCCCTTTGCTTTGGAGCTACATGTAAAGACAAAGCATATTACAAAGCATTGATGAATTGATAAATTCATGGATTGAAGCACCTGTCCTCCAAAATAAATTCCTTAGCTGTTACCAGCTTGTCAAATCAACAATTATATTGTTGCTTGGCAGCCTCTGTTAAAGAGATCTGAAAAGCCTGCAGCTGTTACCTCAAGCTAAAAAGGCATAAATGTGATATTCTACACTTTTTTGCAAACATGTATTTTAGGAATGACGATTTAGAGGATAGATGTTTATTGCATTGGTTGCTTTAGGCTGATACTCTTGAAGGGTTCCAAATCAGTTATCCAGATTATTTTTACAAAACTTGTATCGAGTATGTATTCTGTCTTACTTAGCTTCACCTTCAATCTTGGTTCATCTTCTTCCCTTCTTATGCAGTGGATAAGAATGTACTGAACTGCTTGCCTTTCTAAGTAAAAAAAAAAAAAAA